CTCTCTCTCTCTCTCTCTCTCTCTCTCTCTCTCTCTCTCTCTCTCTCTCTCTCTCTCTGTTTTTCGGGTTAACCAGGACGCAGTGTGAATGATCGCCGTTGTTGTTTTTTTCAGCCCACCAGCGGACTATCAAACCGACGCGTCGTGTATCCAATTTATTTTTAAGCAGTTTCTCGCAAACCGGTGGTTATATGATTTCGCGAATTAGAAGTTACCTCGCGTAATTTTGTCGACCATTTCGGAAAGTTACGTTCTACTCGATGCATTCCATTCAGCCTCGCCGAGGGGATATGCCATCAATAAAGTAAAACCGTTATTCATTTATTTCTAAAGAGACTCACGGCGAATCTCCAGCACACACCCTATATATGTGTGCGTGTGTGTGTGTGTATATGTATGTCAACGAAATTACACGGTGAGTGCAATGTTCATTTTGACCCTCGGAGCGTGTTAGAAGGGCAAAGCGGTGATGGCGGCTTGTATCAGCCGAAAAGGACGCTTCACGCGGCGCTGAATTATGCAGACGCTTCTGCACGGCATCGTTATCGGCGAAAATCGGGTCACCGACGGTCCGGGAGGATACCGCAAGGAAGAGAAGGCGGAGAAAGCGACACGTACAAATGCGCCCTTAATATTAACCCCTTCGAGCGCGCAGGAGCTACGGGCTCCGCGTGTGCCCTTTTGAACCTCCGAGGGAATCTTCGTGCCGGCAGGACCTCACCGGAAATGCACGGAAGTTCGTTGTCGCGCACTGAAAAATGTATATTCGCAGAATACGGAATACGCCCGATATATTTTTTTTTGTTGCATCGCGAAAGGACGCGCGAACATGAATCCCCGAGGGCGAACGGAGGGAGAGTGTTGGCGCCTTTGTGAAACGAAGGAATATCGTAGCGAAGGGACGGTCGGACGAAGGGGGAGAGGAGAGGCGAGAAAGTGGAGGAGAAAAGGATTGCGGCGAACAATTTAGAATTTTTCTTTTCTTCCTTTCTTTTTTCTTTCGTTTTAAGTGCTCAAGGAAATATGTGTGTCGAAGGATCCGCGAGATAAGCCGAGATATCTTTTCAGCGGCAAAAAAGCACGAAGAAACGCGAGAGGATTTGACCAACGATCTGTGATCCACGGTGTTAAACGTCTCTCGACGAGAACGAGACTCATAAGAGCGATGATCCACGCGAAGTGGGCCCCGTGGGAAGTATGAAATTGAAATATTGCGACGGGAGTTATTCAATAGCATCTACGAGATATCTTTTAAAAAGTGCCGTGTTTACGACGCGCGTTTACGTCGTGCGTCCCTTCGACACGACAGACAGAACGGCGAAGAATATCAAATTAAAAAATGTAAACAGCGAGGGAGTTGATGCGAGTTCTCAAACTGGATTGTGTCCACCCTATATGCACCGAGTGGCGGCAGAAGCGATATAAAGTCGACTTTCGTCCCGGCTCCGTAAACCGCGAGTATATCCCCAGGACTTTTCCTTTATAATCGCGTTGGCTTTATCCGCCGAGGACCTCTACGCCACGAAAAGTCCACAAGCTACTTCCCGATTTACGCGAAACACAGAGGACAATTTTGGTGGAAAAAAAATCCGGCCATTTGTTTCACGCGAATTTGCTCTTTCCCGGCGCACGGTTTACCGCGAAACTCGCGGCATTCCACACGGGCTAGTAATAATAGAATAAACAATGGGGTCAATGATAATTGCGCGAACATTGTTCTCCTTCAAGGATAATTAAAAGTTTCTCTACGATTA